GATACTGTACGTCCTGATCCGTCGTTTAGAGCCCTATCCAGACCGCGAATCTCGCGCGTTCGGCAGGCGGTACCCTCGGTTTTGTGCGAGGGAACGCGGGACACCAGAGGTTTCGCGGTGCTCGTCGTCCTCGCGCTCGCTCGCTCCGGCGCACGCGGCTCGCTTCGACATCGCGGGGGAGGAGCCGGACGGGGTGGTAGGAGGGGAAGGGCGCAGAGGTAATCAGAGGCACTAAACCACGATACCGTGCTGGCAGTTAGAGGCCTCTATCTCTCCTGTCGTTGGTGGTACAACACGCCCGGTATTATTTGCAGGCTGCCACATTTGTCGTAGGTGGTCTTGCGACAGTGGCGTCGCGCGGGCCCGTATAAACGACGCCGTCTCCGAGGGACAAGCCGTGGTTCTCCTTCGCGCTCGACGCCCGATCGACGGATAACGAGGGAAGACCTCTGCGACGAATTTAGGACGTTAGATGGGATAACGAACGCACCTGTCCAGTGAATTCAACGCGCATTCGAGGAACGGTGCACGGGATTCCCATTTGCTGCGTGGAGAACGTTGAATATCGCTGCACGAAGTCACCGGACGATTTAAATATAACAGCAGAGACGTGCACTCCATCACCCTGTAGAAGTTAGGACCGAATGGGTACAGGATCCTTCCCATGACTGATTAACGAGAGAATTAACGAAGATCGACGCTCGCAGCACACGGGCCCGAAATTTATGGCCGACGTGAACCGATTCCTGAATTACGGAGCTCACCGGAGGGAGCCGTATCTCTTTCAAGATCTGCCGATCGCGGGGATTCTACCTGGGCCAGCGTCTCGCGAGGGATTTTTCGGATTCCCGCGCGTGGAGGATGAAATCCTAATATAATTCCTTGTACGAGACGTGCAAAGTCGAGTGAAGATTCGACTACTTGGCGCAGCAAACGTACCAGCGTTGGACTTCCTTAAATAAGACACGAAATCTATACAAACAGAAGCAAACATTGGACCATTCTCTAAACAAGACACGAAGATCTCTACAAACTCAAGTAAACAACGCGGCAAACGCAACAGCTTTGGCCAACAGGGAGGAGGAATAATACGCGTTTTGCATATCTCGCGAACATCCCATGGCACGAGCAGTCTATATATCATTACAGCAAGGAGTGTCCACCCGTTAAATAAATAAATAAACGACGAGGATAACCGCGCGACAACTGCTCGGCGAATACACTGTATTTACGAGAGCGTGGCAAGATCCGTCGATAATGGACGAGAGAGGTGTACCCGGGTCGCCGCGTTCGTCATAACCAGCGGACGAGATTGATGGCGGAGTAAAGAGCATCGATGGGAGTGGAGGTTACGTACAATCGAACACGCTTCCTCCCGCGAATACACCTACGTAGCCGAACAATTTCGCAACCACCGATGAAAGTAGATCTTCGTTGACTCAGGTACCAAGCATTCGACCGCGTCGGGGGATACGCGTAAAACTCTCGGGTTCTCTCTTGCCCCGAACGATTAGATTACCTTGGCCAGGAACTGGCAATTTATAACAAAGAACGCTCAAACTTTAGAGATCGTTGTTGCACCGCGAAACCCGTCCGAGCGACAGCAATTTCACTTCCGAGGCGAGATTGTGTCGCGGAGGAAAGCTGAGAAATTGTTGCTGGCGCACGTCACGAGTTTAACCCGTTGATTTGTGACGTTGTGTCCGGTATTGCACCGCTATTGCAGATTATGGCTCGAATGGAACGCACACGAGGTATCGCGACGCGTAGGAACGCGTGTTGCTTGGGTCGGTGATCAATCTGGGCCGAGGAAGGATCTCAGTCTCTGTAACGTTAATTGTCAAAGTGTATAAAGTTTCGTTGTTCAAAGGTCTCGCGAGTTGCTAGATCCGAACTGTTCCCAGTTTTTTGGGGGGATCCCTGGCTCGCGTCGATTTCCACTGTTGACAAACGAGCGCCAAAGAGGGGCTAACGGTTAGGGAACGATTAATAAAGATGCGCGGGCACGCGTTTCACCGGATATAATGCCCACACATCGGCCATGGACGTGTGTACGTACGGACCAAAGAGTCGTCCCTGTATCGCCTCGTTCTCGCCAACTACAGAAGAAAACACGGCGGAGCGTAGGGCCCGGCGGTAGGTGAACGCGTGCTCGTGTATCCTCTCTTGCCAGGGATACACATGTATATAAACGTACACCCGCATAGGCCTGTCGGTGTGGGATTGTGTGGTGCACGTTCACGCGCATAACTCGGACATAAAACAGGCTCGCTCGCGCAAACCACGGCCCCGTGCTGGGGTACGGATGGGCTAACGGATGGACGAATGGACGGACAGACGGACGGATCGACACACAGCACGCGCCCATGAATATGTAGGATGTCTGGAAAAAAAGACGAGGAAAAGTGGGGGCGGCAAAGTCTCGACGCGCATAGTAATCGGAGCCGCGTCATGCCAATAACATCGCGGCGTCGATCGCCTAATGTTCGATCGATAAACCACGAGCAAAGCGAGTTTTTCCTTGACTCCGCGGCGATAAGCGTCGCGCTACGCTGGCTGCTGATTTACGCGCGCGCGCCGGAAAAACTGGCTCTATCGACGTGGAAATTTGTTTGGATCGGCTTCGAACCTTGTAAACGGGTATTTTTTGTTGCTTCAACGGGTCGAACCCCGAGGAAGAATTTAATTGAGTTTGTTTTCATTATTCTTGTGGATCGTTATAGTTTTAAGAAAGTTCGACTCTCGGATTCTATTGGAAGGAGGAAGAAAGACGTTCGTTAGAATGTTTGACGCCACCTTTGTTACGTCGACGCCGAGCGACAACCGTAAACAGTATCACCTATTAACCAACTTGTCTTGTCTCGCAGACACTCGCATGCTTAGGTCCCATTCTTCGGACACAATTACCAGCCAGGAACATCGATCGACTCTAATTTGGGATTTTTTCATTTGGGTCCCTTTGGGTCACTTTGGGTCCTGACAGCAACAAACAGCGATTCCTAGCCAACGAATACAACACTTCTTCGAGTTACCAACAAATTTGTAAATTTGCAATCCCTGGAGACGCCGGGACGCGTGTGCCGTCGTACGAACACGCGCGCGAATGGCCATGCTAAAACGGGCGCGGGTAGGTGGCTTTGCAGCACGAGGAGAGTTTACAATTTTCTGCACGACGCTCGTTCGAATGCCAGTAACGTTGCGGATGCCAATTGCCGATAATTCAAGGTGTACCTACCCACGATATAACGTGGCACAGCCACGATGCTGACAGATTGTTGGGTACCGGTACAAGCGCTGGACGCAGGGCCCCCCTTTAAACGCGCAACATTTTGGCGCGTCTTGTCCGAGGGGCTTCGAACATCGCTGGTGAATCATTTTACGGTTCAAGGCGAATTCGCGCTATTCGTCGGGCCGATTCCCCGTCGAATCACTCTCTGACGTCTTTTGCGAGGGTCGATTCGTCACTATCGGTTTATCCCCTCGTGTTGTATCACGTTGCAGCCATCGAGACGAAGAAGGAAAGTTCTTGCAACGCCATAAATCATCGATGAGGTTGCGCGATACGCAGGACATTTTTCTTAGAAAGATTCGTAATGGGATTTTTCGCGACAATACGAATCGAAAAGTTCTGTAATATTTTGCAATTCGAGGCTTCGTTATCGAGATACGAGCAGATGAACCTACGAATGCATGGTCACGTGTCGATGAGCCGCGATCAGCTGATTGGGTTACAAATGGCGCGGGAGTAAACTTTGCTTGTAACTGGCTAAGGAAACTTTAGACTACGAAGTGGTAAATGACAAAGAGGAATGGATCCTCTTTTTGTTATCGACTTATGTACCAACATCGATGAAAGATTCTCAATAAAATGGATTAAAGATAGCACTGGCCAGCTTCGTTGTTATTATAGGGAATTCTTTCCTATTCCTAAAGGACAATGGCAATTTTGCCAAACGTCGAAAGAAGATCAAACAACGTTCGAGAATTTAATAGGAAACCAGCGACGATGATGGAAGGCTCAACCTCTTGACATTCAATCGCGCGTGTATGCCTTTTAATATTAATGCACCGCGTTGGCACCTACGTATAGGAAGCGAATACGCTTCGAGTCGCGACGGTGAATTTACGACGTATTAAATTGCGCTACTCGATATCATTGTAATTTTCTGAGATGGGCATAAAACTGCGTGCTTACGGGGAAGGGAACGACCGGAAGGTCTCGAGTCGATGTCGCGTTTCCAGAGGTCCAATTAAGAAGGGATTCCCATTAAGAGGAAACGTACACCTAGGAACTCTAAAAATAGGATCTTGTTTAAGAATGTCTTCCGCCTGTATCGTTGATTTCGTTCAACGATTCTTGTTATCGTCTCAAACGCTAATCACACTGGTATTCCTCGTTAAAGGAAATCCAATGATAACCTAATTACTCGCCATCCTAACGAGTATTCCCCTCGAAGCGAGTCTGCTGATCCTAACAAAGCAATGGCGGCGGAGAAAATTCGCTCGAGAGGCTCTGATTAACTCCCTCTTCGCTCCACTCGGGTCTCCATTCACGTTGATCACGTGACGTGTAATTAAATTAATAATTGCACCGACGCGAGGAGAGTTTTCCGACTTTCTTATTCCCAGAACTGTCTCGCGACCCGTTTTTCAAGAGAAAAAGATTTTTCAGATGCTCCGCTCGTTTAGTTTCTATTTTCAACGGTTCTCCGACCAGAGGATATGCAATAACCTACTTCGTTACGTGCGATTTCAATTACGGCGTATAATTGCGAACGACGAGGCACGCGTGTTGGTGAAACCAAATAAAGAAACCCACTAATCCGTGATCGATTATTTTCTTCGCTCATTATCAGTTGCGCTTGGCTTGTTCTATTGTCGGATCGAGAGGTGCTCGTTTCAGAGCACAGTGGTATCGATTGTCAGATAGATGAAACGAAAATAAACAGATGTATCTAAATTTATATTAATAAAAATAGAACATCGACAAAGGGACTTACCTAGCATCTTGCTGAGATCGGCATTGTGGAGATCGGGATTCTCGTCGGCCAATTTCTTGCGCTCGACCTTTGCCCAGACCATGAACGCGTTCATGGGACGACGTATCCGTTGCTCCTTTAGGCTCCTCTGGGCCGTGCTGCCTGGATGGCACATCTTCACACCCGCGGGAATCGGTGAAATACCTTGTTGATAATCTAGGGATGGCCCGGAACCCAGCCAGGAAGACATGTCCTCCAGCCGTTGCTGTGCTGGACCGCTCAGCATCCCTGGGATCTGAAGCGTGAGTTGAAATTTAGTAAAATAAAATCACATCAAGTCATCGCCACTTTCGTGCTTTATTTAATTTATTCGATTTTCAAGAATTGCTAAAGTCTCTGTTGGAAGACAATTTACTATATTTCGTGACTTTTATATTCTCGTACATTTGTTGGAATAAAGATCTTAAGTAAACAAACGACCTAGCAATAAACAGAAATAATATCGGGCGACGAATCTACTCGTTAGGGACCGACCCTCCGTTATTCCTGATAATTACGCGCTTATTAACCGAAACAGGTGAAAGTCGCGCCCGATACTCGCGATTCCATTAATACGTAATTACTGAGAGATATTAATCGGTCGGCTAATGAACGGTAGTTGAACGGAGCGCCAGCAACAATGCCAAGTAAAAGCTGCTGTTCCGCGGCCGACGGACTCCGTATTGTAATATAATAAAATGAATAATGCGCGTGCGATCCATGGAAATAACTTATCGCGCGATAATTACGACTTCGTGGGAACGATGGGTATACGGGGTGTGCTCGAAAGTATAGATAACTTGGTTACTTTTCGTAGGGACGAAACTGTTGCACTATCTTTTCCTGGATAAATTAATTCACCAAATTTGATTTTTACCAAGACTCGCGCGAAAGAGCGACTTTCAGAAATTTTCTTATTCCGAGGGGTTGGTTCCTTTATTATCCAAATTTTCACGGACGACGCGAGAAACGCGGAACGTGTAGGTGTCGAACGTTAAGTTCAACGTTCGAGAAATATGCGGCTCTATTGCAACAACGATCGCGCGAACACGTACCGAAATGATTTGGGTATCGATGGGCATGGAACTGTCATTTCCGTCGATATTCGACTCGATGTCGTAGGTCCTCGACGTGGGTGTCGCATAAAGCGAGGAATGAAGTGCCAAGAGTCCAGGGGAACCGCCATAACTGCTCACTGGTGGTGGTGTCACCTCACCCCTGTCATAATTATCCAGCATCCTATAAATTCAAAAACGATTTATTAATCATTAGTCTCGTTTATATGCACGCGGTTAACGGTTAAATCGGCGCGCATCCGGTCGCGTTCATGCGTGCAATAAAATCGCGTTCATCGCTTTGCTGGAACGCGATGGCTTGTCGCCACGGGTGACAATAATTCGTGTTCACATTTTTGAAGAAATATAGAAAGAACGAGGTGAGGCTGAGGTTGATGATCGATAATGGGTGATAAGTAGACTGAGGATGTTTGTTCAAAATGTGCAAATAACGCGTGTAGGATATGAGAGTATAATTAATGAATGCATGAAAAAATGTAACGATATATGCATGGTCGAGAAGTTGATAAATCGCTCTCAGCATTAATGTAGCAATTAACGTGCATGTAGGTGTTTGTTTTTGGTCTTCATTCTACTCACTCCGAGGGTGAAAGAAACACGTTGTCGGGAAACAATCGCTTTCCAAGTTGCGAGCACATTTTGCCCGAGGTAGAGTTTTGCTAAACTGCAAGGTTAGAGATACAAGGTACTGTTATCGCTTTCTTTGTGTTAACACTAAACAATAACAGTACTCGTTCTACCGAGATAAGTCAGCCCGACGGTGTATTATCTAGCAATCTGTGCGTCAAAGTGATGCGTATGTTATCAGTTTGCATTTGAATCGACTCCAGTTAAGATAATGTTTATCTTCCTTGCTGAAAAGCCTCTGTAAACGTGTTGACACAATTTTCTTCCTCTTTTCAGTCACACAGTGACCAACACCTTATAACCAGTAGTTCACTTAGCCCCCTCCCCCACTCAAAATAAAAAAAGCTTCATACTTTTAGGTTGATATCGAACAATTCTACAGGCTGACAGAATTCAGTCCTATCTAAAAGTATCATGGCCTGCCTTGCTCCTTCGTTGAGTCTCGTAGCTTGCCCTCTTCGAACCTCCAGGACGTTCCGAGTGTCCTCGGTATCAGAACGCAACCAATTATATCGCGAAATGGGGCAAACGGGAACGAGAGGGAGATCGAGTTGAACGATATTCTGATTAAGCAAAAGTCAATTATTCTCCCCGGGATCGACACCGTCGGAAGTCGATCCGCGAGAGACGAAAGAGACGAAAGGGACTTTAAACGATGCGGATGGAATACCTTTCGTTCGATTCCGTTCGATACCGGGGCAACGAGCGGCCTGGGCAAGAACGAGAGATCGATTCGTACGGCGTGCACGAGAGGTAATTGACTCTGGCGTCTCTGTTTCGTCGTTGGACGAGCAGCCAGCGAGGGGAAACCCAGCGGGAGAAATCCCGTGGGTCGCTCGTGCCCAGGGCCCGATTGATCTGTCAACCCCGTTAGGAAAAGAGTTGATCGACATGAATGAACCATTCAAGGCCACTTAATGGAATTCCCACGATTGTCCTTAAGGCATAATGCGACCGTGCCAGGTATAATAGTACGAACAGCTGTCTCCCGTGTGCACGCCACCACCACAACCACCCACCCCACCCTCTTGCGCGTCAGCTGGTTCACATCCACGCGCGAAACCTGCGTGGACGTGTGCGTGACTGTAACACCGTCCCTCGCACGCTCGACGCGGGTCGTGCGCGTTTCCGTGTGTGTGTGTAAATTTAAAAACGAGTAATACACGCGCTCTTGGCCATGCATATATGTATATGGACACGCGAGTGTTCCACATAATGGCCATTGTTTCATTCGGTCCGCGAGAGATGCTGACGAGGGCAAAAACGTAGCAGGCATTTTCATTCAATAAACTTCGCCCAGGTTTTTGCTGGTTGGGTCGCGTACCAGACCTTCTGCTTCCAGAGGACGACGCTAATTTTTGGAACAGGGGTGGAGGAGAACGTTAGGGGTGCTGGAGAGTTTGCTGGGTAATTTTTAAAGAGGTGGGAAAGCTAGGTTTTTTGGGAGTTGTATGAGAGTTAGAAGAAGGAAGGACTCGAAGATTGCGGGTCGTTGAAACTCCGTTGTAACATTCTTTGATACGGTGATGGCTCGTTCGATATTAGTTTGCACGATAGCAAGGTGTTTGGTACCAGCTCCAAAGTCAGATTGATATAGTTAGAGGATCGTAATGCCAAAGCGTTAGAAAATTCGCAGGACAACTTGGTACAGCTTCTACGAGGGTACAATTTCTATGAAGTAAAAATCTGGAGAAGTAGGTTCTCGGCGAGTTCAACGAGAAGCAGAAGAGTCGAGGATGTGATGCATACGGTTCACTGTCTCAGCGGCATCCTACGAGGCCATTTTTGGATCGGATAGTGACTCGCGACGAGAGATGGATAATGTATGATAATCGACGCCGATCTGCTCAATGACAGAATATTCATGATTCTCCAAAGTTGAAGTTGAGTTGAGTGCACGCTCAAAGAAGGTCATGCTTGGCTGTTGGATGATCCACGGCTTGGAGTTGTTCCTTCATTAGAAAGACTGAATTCTAAACTATTCTATCTTATATTACATTTAATACGTTACGGGTTAACAGTAGTCCCCGCTTCCACCGCGATATGCTCGAAACGCGCTACTGTTCGCCGTCTGAGCTATGGCATCGATAAGTAAGATCGATACGAGGTGTCGTTTTAATATCGCGACGCGGTCGCGATGAATAGCTGGAGGAGTGAGGGTCGTTTTAATGTGGGATGCTAAGGCAACGACCGAGATCCGTTCAAGCCAAATGGATTTCTTTCTCCAGTCTTATTTCTACCCTACCGTCGAAGAATGGAGCAGCTTTTGTGTATTCGTGAATGCGTTTGCCCTTATCGAAATTGGATGAAATACGCTGCTCGATAACAGCTGAGAAACTCCTATAAGGGAATTATTATGAACTGGGCGATAAGATTGAATCGATCTGTGAAACAACCACTTGGTTTCGAAGATTGGATTTTCTTGCTTGGTAGTGGGTTAATTAAAATTGATATTCGATTCATCATGTATGGCTACGACAGAAGAAGGAGATCAAATACTCTCCCTATTTAAAAAATATAGGGAAACATGAAATTTTGGAGTCGGAATAATTTTCACGTTCGCGAAGAAGACCGTTGGATTTCCGGTGGGACGTTTACACGGATCGCCAACGAAAAACTATGAAAACTCACGGTCAAGATTCCTCAGGTTCAGCCCGCGTCGGTGCAGCTGCACCACCCACGCATATGATAGATACGCCACTGCCTTCAGCATTGTTTCTTTAATGATTCATATGGGGTGATTGTACCAAGAGCAGAGGAAGCAGTTTCCAACTGGAAATGCAATGAGCTTGCGTCGTATCGAAAATATTAATCCTGTCGGTGTCATCGAAGGTCTCCTGTGTTATATACGTGAATCGCTCATCGGGGAGACGATTATAATAAGTCGACGATTTTACAATGGCCTCGACACCAAGCCCACTCCGGTGGGCGTCAAGTTAATTCGAAATCTATTTCAACTCTTATTCATCCCAAGACCCTGAATCTCTTTTGGGGAAAGTACTTTATTCCAAGCACAAGTAGCCAACGAATAGCAGAGATTAGGACTCCAATCTACAACGAATGGTCAAATGGCCATTTTTAACCTTTTCTATACAATTGTGGTACGCGATATACGTTCGATCTAGTTCCAAGTAAAATAATTTTGCATTCAATTGAAAAAAAAATGTCGTTAAGTCATCCGTCTCATAAAGGACAAATAGTAGTATAAATAGTTACAAATAAACGGTGGTAGGTCTAGCGTTAAGATCCAAGCCAGATTCGTACCAAGTCGTTGGAAGGTGACCCATAACGCGAGAAATTTTTACAGGCCGTGCAAACCGCACGAATTACGAGCCTGGCGAGTCGATCTGGATATTTGTACGAGCGCGCAAAGTCGCGCTGGCTACACGCCGAGACAAAGGACACGCGAAACGATCCTCTAAATCGGCACGTTCGTCGAGGCTCATGAATCTCGGGCGAAACAGTGAAAACCCGTGCAACGGTTCGGTACGCAGGACAACCTGGGAGTCAAGCTCGCCGGGGGACAGGAACGGGGACTCCCCGTCAACGACACACACTTGTTGGGTTCCCTAGCGAGTAAATTATTCCCCCCTTCGGGTCAGCCTCCGGAGCCGCGGCGAAGCAGAGAAAGCTTTCGCGTCGCGGACGCCTGACGGCTGACGTGGTGGCGCATTTTATTCAAATAATCGAGACGACCGAACACACCCTTGCATTGCTCGACGGGAAGGCGCACCGACCTTAAAAACCCGCGACAAACTGTTGCGCGACGGTTTGCACAAACTCTTGGCAATGCTGACACCGATCGTCGTGAAAGTGGTACCAGTCTTTCTTTGTTCGCCGACGCAGAAGGTCCGCTTTCGATTGGAGATGAGGTGGTCAAGGTTTCCTTTAATTGGGGATGACTCGTCATTGGAACTTGTAAAAATACTAACGCGAATGTTTGTTCTCTTCATCTATCCTATTTTCTTCCTCTAAGTTCCCACACCTCACCCTAATTTAATTGCACTACACTTGCCTTTGCATTTCTTTATCCCTCTCTCTCTCTCTCTCTCTCTCTCTCTCTCTCTCTCTCTCTCGATTTACCATGATCGAGAGTAGTAAATTCCTAAAGTGGTCTTCGATCATCGTAAAGTTACAGCCAACTTCTAAAAATAAGAAAGGTTGTGATAGATGAGCGTGGCGGGAAGACGCGGTGGCATCGATCGAGCCGAGAAAACGGAGGGACTCGTAATTTTATAGGCCCCTGATTAAACTTTTAAATCGAATGACCAGCGCGGTTCACTTGGTAAGCGGAAGTGACGACCTCAGCCGCTCACCTCTGCACTACTAACGCTCCGGCGCGTTTCAGATTTGAGAACGAAGAAAGCGCATCCCCGAAACCTTTACGGTCTTCAGGCTGCGGAACGGACGTCGTCGTCGGCGTTATACCCCGTACACCTTCTTCTGACCTCAGACCGTACCGGTCATTACGTACGACTTCCTGCGAGTGAAAGAGGAATCGAAGATTTCTCGAAAACTAACGAGACTTTAGAATAT